TACATTTCGAGCTTAAAAATTTGTTCATGTTCGGCTCGTTAGGCTTAACGAACGAGCCGAACACGAGCTGCTTAACGAGCAGAACACGAGCTGTTCACGAACAACGAGCCAAATTGACAGCCCTACTCGTGTATATGACTCTTTCTTTTGCTTGATCTGCATAAGAGAACTCGTGTTTTTATCTTATTTCCGCTACAGGGCTCTCATAAAGACTATAAAAAGTACATAGGAAATAAAAAATGGACTCGACCTGGATGAAAATATATATGTGCAGCTTGCATTGATTCTTTGGTTGGCATCTACGTTGTCAATTCTAAGTACTCTGAGGTTGCGGGTTCGACCCCGCCTGAGTGCAACTATCTTGCAGCACGGGATCAAGTTGTTAGACACATGAGGATGATTGGGGGCCCGTATCACAACCTCCGACCATTTTTTATATATATATATATATATGTATGTATGTATGTATGTATGTATGTATGTATGTATGTATGTATGTACGTACGTACAGTTATTGATCTTCTACCTCCTCTTTTGGCACTTCTTATTCATGGGGACAATTTATTTTGCCTTAGGTTCTAACTTTAGGCTTTCTCTTATAATTTTTTGGACTTTTTTGGAATGAAGAATTAGCCTATTTTTGCTATATATATATATATATAGTGACGCTGATGTATTCTATGTTTTCTTGCAATCATAAACGGAAGAAAGTAGTAAAAAGTTATGTTAGTCTTTTATTGTGACCACTACACTAACGTCGCAGGTATGAAAACTTTATGTGATCAATATGCGACTGAAATATGATTTTACAGTTTCACACACCATGTACCGCATTTTCTTTTGTTATGAAAATTTAAACAATACATGTCATGCTAAATACCTAAAAAAATTTCAACTTCAAACTTCTAAGCCTTCGTCTTCTCCAACAGGTAATATTACAATATGACCAATATTCACATTAACCAACGGCGTGCTGCTTAATAAAGACGTGAACTATAATAACCAAAGATATTGCACATGAACATGAAGCAAAGAAAAGTGGCCCCCAACTCCAGTGCTCATACCTTTCTCTTATGTCAGAAGCATTTCATCATTTCCAAAACAAAGAGCATTCAGAATTCATTTGGATCCCTTGCAGTCACCATATAAGCAAACGATGGAGGATCCGGATTTTGCCGGCTAATTTCCCTGCCTGACGCTTCTTCTTCTTCTTCATCTGATGAAGCTTCTATTTCTTCCTCAGATTCGGAAGTTTCAATCGCGTAATTGGAGATGCTAGAAGGGGTTGGTGGTCCACTAATAGCTGCAGTGGTCACGACATCCACAGGGATCGTGGCATCACCCACCTCTTCTTCTTCCTTCGCTCCGGCGGTCTTGTTCTCATCCGAGGAATCCATTTGATCAAAAAGTTTAGCCCAAAAGACTACTTTTTTCCGAATGGAGCTCTCAAGATCTGAAGTCTGGAGGAATTGTGTGTGTTTATAAATGAAATTCGCCAAAGAGAAAACCAGACATGCGAAGGATGCGACTCCGGTGATGAGAAATAGGCCCCAGAAACTACGAAATGAAAGGCTGCTGGAATTCGTGTCATTCTCATCTTGGGTTGGGCAGCTCCTATTGTCATATAAAATATTCTCGATATCTACCATCTCAGTGCTATCTAGTAATCTAAGGATTTCAGCTGAAACCTGGGAAACTAATGGCGAGTGCTTGGGAAAGGCCTGCATATAATGGTAATGAAAAAATTAAAACTTGCAATTAAGAAGATGAGCTTTTGATTCTTATTTTTTGGACTATGGATCATACTAAAACATCTACTGAAATAAGATTTTGAGTGACTCAGTGATTCAATGATTGCGGCTGAAACAAAATTATTTGTATATATTTGTAAAAATATAAATTTAATAAAATTATGACCATAAAACTGAATTTTTAAACCAGGGAAGCAAAGGTTTTTGTATATGCAAGATTAAAGAGACTAAAGATTATATGCAAGATTAAGGAGATTATTACTTACAAAACCAAACCCATCAGTCTTATAAGTAGTTCCAACCATGGCATACTTTCCACAGTACTTATTGAGGAAGATCTTGAGGTAAGGTAACTCATCCACTATGGCCGCAACAGATCCATTAGACATGGCTTCATTATACTCCTCCGGAGAGCTGTAAGCAACGACGTTGGCTTTCTCAAAATTCAACCTTTCTAAGAGTGACGGCATGAAAGAATCCACCAAGTACCCAACACGATTTCCATTTTTTATAAGATCATTCATGTCTGTCACAGTTGGCTGAAGCTGCTGAACCGTGAGCATTGAGCTTAAGCTCGCCGTGTAACTGGACTGAAGCACAAGAACCACAAAAAGCCACACTATCACCACAAGCCTTGACAAGTTGCTGACCACCCTCTCCCTGTGAGCAAAGACGAGAGTGGAGAAGGAGAAGTATAAGACAGTGCCGAGCTGTTCTGTGGGTTCTCCTCGGAACTCGGGATTGATTCTGTGTTCTATAAGCCAGACAACAAATCCTGTAAAGATGAAGAATGCTCCGCTTGCCAGCCAGAGATCGGTGGTTAATGGATCCAGGAAGGCCCATGCGTCCTTCTTGCGGTTGTCGTTGATTGGAACAAGCATGGACACGCCTGACTCGGTGTATGGCAGAGTAAAATCAACGTATAAGGATCGATTGGCTATAATTGTCACGTCTCCCACCACAGCATCGTAATTCTGGAATCAATTTTTGAAAAGAGAGTAGTGAGAAATTTAATCTAGATACGGCTCCAAGATCTGAAGTTATATTCTAAAACATGGGGGAACTTTGAAAGTGTTGTAAAATTATCAAAGGAATAGTTGTGATTGTTTGTACAGACAGGTAGAAATGATGCAGATTATTATGTAAAAAAGAAGAAGAATTACATACATACAACTCATTCTTATGTATTTATATATCTTACATCAAAACTTCAATTTTTACATAATGTCACCTTTTCTATGCTTGAAAATATGTATTTCACCTTTCAAAAGTAAAAATTGATGATATATTTTATGTGATATGTAAGATTTGAATGGTGTAATTGTAAAAATTAAAGTATAGATGTTAGATATGTAGAAACATGAGAATTGGGTGGTAGAATTGGATGGTATGTATGTAAATGCCCCCCCTGTTGAAATATAAACTTGTTTTAGTTGTTTAAATAAAGCTTAATTTCTATAAGCTTATTCTAGAATATGTGGTAGGTATGAAATTATTGTGTAGTAGGTGTGGTAGGTGTGGTAGGTGTTGAATTATTGTGTGGTAGGTGTGGAATTATTTGTAACCATTGGATTGTAATTGTGGTGGCACAATCTTAGCCATTAATTTAGGAGGTGCCACTAGTATAAATAGGGGTGGAGTCTTTGAGTTTGTATCAAGCCAAGTTAAGGTGTTAAATAAGAGTGAAGCTTCTTCCATAAGTTGTGTTTTTAGCCTTTGTCATTTCCTAAAAGCTTCTCCATTCCAACATAGAAAAGGTTTGAAACAACTACAAATGATAAGATTTTCATGATAAGATATTACAATATACATCTAATTTGCCACAAAAAAAATCTAAATATTATAATTTGAGATCTCATGTCACCACAAATATATTGTTAATTGGAACCAACAAGTATTATATGTACTAGTTGCATCCTATTTCATTGCACAAGATCTAATGAAGTGTTTCATAAATTCAATAGGAAATGAGGATTGCATGTGTATAAGGTTAGCAAATCAAAGTTCCATCATTTTGCATTAAATAAATTTCCCTTGATTGCATAAATTATTTATATTTTCCTTTTGAATTCTTGCACAAAATGCATGTACGGAGGCTCTCAATTATATACAAGATTCGGTTGATTGAATGGTAAGAATCATAATTTTATTAATGCAATGGCATATCCTCTTGGTTAAAGCTTCTGGTTGCATGCATTAGAAGTTTAGTCTCATTCAATAACTGCTTAAAAGTGCACAATTGTTAAAAAGTGAGGACGGCTTATTAACATCCTTAATATAACGACATGGATTGTGCATCCAACTTAGCTTAATGGTTGGGTTCCTTGTCTCCAAATAATGTCTTGATTTCTAGGTTTCGTACATATAAGTGTGCGCGTAAGTTTAAGAAAAGTAGCAATAAAGACTACAAACTACCAGTGTTATATACTTGTAAGATAATACTTATTTCTATGGATTTTTTTGCTTCTCTTTTATAATAATTTAGCTTAACCAAGTTTGAAAAGGAAGCGGCAATTTTTTGTTCATTTTCTAGTAAATGTGACTCCATATTTAGTAGAATGATATCCCCTCTCCTATCTAAAGATATTTTTTGTTTGAATATATAATTCATAAAAATTTGGTTTCTTATGTCCCGCTTGAGTCATTTTATGTTTCTATATGGTTCATATTTCACTTCTAGAGGAGCTTTCACAACGCCCAAAGTGTTCCATTACAGGAAAACAATATAAGAACCAAGGAAATAAATTGACAATAATAAAAACCAAGATTGACAAGTTTTATATTTTGAATAATTTTGAAAATTGACAAAACAAGAACATGTTGTGGCAAAAAAAAAAAAAAATACTATAATTACAACATGCAAAATTTTATGCCATAATATATATATATATATATATATATATA